AGTTGTAAATGGAAATCCATCAGCTCTTCAAAGAGCTGTGAAATCCCTTTACCAGCACACACTCTGATAGTGAGAGCCAAGAGGAGAAGAATGGATACCTCTCCTAATTCCAAAGCCTAGATTCTTTGCAGGGGTACAATGGTCAGGCCAGCTGCAACACAACAGCCTAGAAGAGGCTGTTGGCCTAGCTTCCTGGGAGCCTGCAGAAGCCTGAGAGCTTTCCTCCCTCCCCTTAGCTGTGGCCCTGGCCCTTGTGGAGAGCTCCACAAAGAGAACATTCAGTGCCTCCTACTAGGCTGGCAGTGGTGAAGCCTGTCTGTTCTTTGGGCTTCTCTGCTTGCATGCCGGACCTTTCGGGCTGATAAATAGATCTTATACTATAGCCTTCCTAGTCTGCTATGCACTGTTCCTTGGCTTAAATTGCATGCCTGTGGGCTGGTCAGTCTCATTTGGGGCAGGTCCCCTTGTCCCCTAGTAGTATTTCAAATCCCTGTATGCTTTGATTTGTTTATCTTTAATTTTCCGTATTTAGATAAATATGTACTATAGCGACATGTACAGACCTCAAATGAATTTTTAATAAATGGGTTTTATGTAAGTGATTCTTTAATAGAGATATAGAACATTTCAAATAGCTTCAAAATTTCCCTTCTGGCCTCTATTATTAAACTCCTTTCTGAGGCAACCACTGTGCTGATTCCTTGATCTTGAACCTTACATAAGTAGAAACACAGAGTGTGTACTCTCTAGTGTCTAGCCTATGTCACTCAACATGCTTCTGAAATTCATCCATGTAGTTCATTACTGTTGGTTTTTTTTATTGTTTATTTTTTGCTGAACAGTATTCCAATGTATGAGTATGCAAATACTATATTTCTGGGCTTTGGATCCAATATTTGGAATGGATTTCCTGACCCTCTAACAAATTAGAGATAGAAAATAAGGGGTCAAGAAAATGGGAAAGACACTGTAATGTCAGTGTCACATCAAATGAGTCTATGCCACCAGTTAATAAGAAACTTCCCTTTCTTTGTTCCTTGCAACTACCCCAAGTATAGAAAACTCGCTGGTTTCACAAGGAAGAAGATCTAAGGGATCACAGACAGGCCTGTAGACCCTTTGACGAAAGAATATTTTTCTCTACTTTACTGTAATAGAAACCAAGAAAAACTCTTATTAATCCTTCAAGTGCAGCTCAAGTAGCATCTTTCATTTCTAGTTTTTCCATAACCTTGAAAGAAGATGACTCAACCCCTTATTTGTGTTCCTAAAACAACTCATAAGAACTTTTGTTACAGCTTTTACCATCTTGTACTACTTGATTTCTTTGCAGACATGACTGCACTTTCTAACAAAGTAAACTATAGACTACCCCCCAAAAAAAGGACCATATTTTTCTTTTCCAGTGATTTATACACAATTGGTGTGGAAGAATGGACACATGGATGACTGCCCAGATGGATAGGTGGATGAAAGGCTGGATGGGTAGATAGATTGGTGAATAGGTATATGATGGATAGATGGATGGTTAGATGGATAGATGAGTGAATGAAAAAGTGGATGGTTGGATGTATGGATGTACGTATGGATGGATGGATGGCTGGGTGGGTGGATGGATTGGTGAATGGGTATATGATGGATGGATTGATGGATGGAGGATAGATAGATGAAACAGTATGTAAATATTGCCATATTGCTTACAAACTGAATGATTTGTCTGGTCTATAGCAATCCTCAGCATTATCAGGATACTGTTCTCTCACTATCTCACATTCTCATTGGTTCTGGGAGTTCATATTATTCTACCCACCAATAGGCAAATGCCTGAGTATTAACTGGAACAGGTTAAATCTCCTAGCCATCAGAAAGTAGCTTCCTGATGCTTCAGTTAATATTTCCATAAGCGCTGGAGGCTGGACAAAGTCACAGTTAATCTGCAACCATGTAGGCCAAGAGGCAATCTGGACACCATGAAAAGCTTCTCCATACAGGACAAGCCTGAGCACAGAATGAGTGGCAGTGCTTCTGCTCTCAGCAGGCGGCTGGTTAAATACAGCCTCACAGGTAACTAAAAGGTGATGTTGAGCCCATTAGAGAGTTTTGTAACACTGTGAATAGCATTTAGTACTCAGCTGTTTCTCACCCACCTCTCAGATGGTCCCAGCAGGAAACAAGTCTGTAGCTGTCATGTTTACAGTTAATTAATGTTTATTTATATTTTTTAAACACGGCATTCACCTGTCACGCTTTAAAATAAATGTTCTGCTCTTCAATTAGAGGTTGTCAGGGAGGAATCCTGTTCATTATGGGTTGAATGCGTGTATATTTAAATGTATATCAAGTAAGGACCTCTTTCCCTATAAGTCTCTCTTCTTAGAGGCTAAGGATTTTTCTCAAAGAACACATTCTTTTCAGGCTTTGACCATAAGATTGGTGTTCTGCTATTCAGGCTATGAGCTTGCTTCTAGAGGGCAGACAGCATAGATTGCAGTGTCTCCTTAGGTGGAGGAAGTGGGGATTAGATGAAAGTATTGCACATTTGACCAGTGTAGAACAAGGATTCTTAAAGGAAAAGGATATTCTTTGTTCTCTTTTCAGTAAAGTATTGACTCAAACCCTGCAATTTCCAAAGAAAGGTCTGGTTCTAGGTGATTGGCTCCTGGGAGATCACCTGGACACTCTTGCAATAGTCTGCTAGATAAAAATGTCTTTCTTTTTTTACCTGGGGCCTTAGGTCATGTCAGATGGTTGATGTTGACAATGTGATCTATGGTGGGGGTCTTGGGCCTTTAAATGTCAGTTTGAACTCTACAGGGGCTGGAGACGGTAACTAAGATCAGCCATGTGGGGCACCATAACCATAATGGAGCCCCAATAAAAACACTGGACCCAAAGCTCAGATGAGCCTCCCTGTTGGCAGTACCTTTCATATTATCACACATCACTGCTGAATTAAGCACTGTCCATGCATTTCCACTGGGACCAGACACCTGGAGACCTATACCTGTTCCTCCTGGATCCTGCCCTATGCAGCCTTTATCTTTGCTGATTTTAATCTGTATCCTTCCACTGTAACAAACTATAATTATGAGCAATGCAGCTATTCTGAGTTCTGTTTGTCCTTCTAAGGAATCAGTGAAACTAAGGATTGTCTTGGGGATCCCAATATCCTCTCTCAGAGTAAATGATAAAGATAGATTAAGTTGCAGGGTGAAAAACAGGAAAGAACTGAATGCAAATACTGCCTGGTGATGTCAGGAAAACCACCTGACCCCATAATCTTTTTGAGATTTCAATAAGATTCCATACTAGATATTCATCTAATATTTCAATAGATATTCAAGGAATGTGCCACTGTTTTAATCATATATGTTCAAAAAGTGGTTAATGGTAGAGGTTATTGTTTGGCCTATCTGTGAGCTTCTGCACACTATTCTAAGTGTCTTAGGTTTGGTAAACTCTCTAAATTTAGGCATATGTCCCTCCATACTTTTGAAGAGGGTATGTTCACAGTTTGTAGTCCATAAATTATTGTTTTTATACAGTGAACTTGGCTACCATTGCTTCTGTCCTTATCTTGACCTTAGGCCTCTGGTTTCAAGTGAAGACCTTCATCAATTGATGATGAGATTACATCCTGTTATCCACCATAAATTGAAAATATCACACATTGAAAATGTATTTAATACACTTAACCTACCAAAGATCATAGCTTAGCCTTACCTACCCTACAAATGCTCAGAACACCTAATTGGGCGAAATCATCTAACACAAGGCCTATTTTATAATAAAGTTCTGAAAATCTCATATAATTTATTGAATACTATACTGGCAGTGAAAAACAGAATGGTCGTATGGGTACAGAATTGTGGTATATGTATGGGTTGTTTATCCTCTTGAATGTCTGGCTAGCTGGGAGCTATGGCTTGCTGCCACTGCCCAGTATCACAAGAGAGGAAAGTACCACATGTTGCTTGCCTAGGAAAAGATCAAAATTCAAAATTTGAAGTATGGAAGTAAAAAATTATGAAATAAAAAGTCATAAGTGGAAGTAATTGGAGTAATGTCGAGTGCTGGACTGTACATCATCTGTTTTCCTTCAATTGTACAACTGGTATAGGCTTGGGAATAAAGTACCTAGAACAGTGCCAGAATCATATTTGGAACTGAATAAGTTCTAGTTGAACATGAATATGAACATCTAAAGGATTTCTTCCAATCACTACTTTATATATATTCTTTTTTGACCAATAACTTAAAAACCAAAAAAATAAAGATGTAATAAAGATGTAGAAAATGGGATAAAATACAACATTTGCACAGCTTTTATCAATGGTTACTGAACCAATGGTTTTCCCCCATTGTGGGTTAAGTTGTGTCTCCCCCCTCCAAAAAATAAAAAATAATATATATATCAAAGCTTTAATTCTTAGCTTCTGTGAATGTGACCTGACCTTATTTGGAGACAGGTCTTCGAAAATGAAATGAAATTAAGATGAGGCCATACTCACAATGGTAGGCCCTAATTAGGTCACCCTAATCCAATGAGTGCTGTTCTTAGGAGAAGAGGGAAATCTGTACACACACACACACACACACACACACACACACACAATGGTCATATGAAGATAGAGGCAGAAATTTGAGGTTGGCTGCCACAAGCCAAGGGATACCGAGGACTCCCAGTAACAGTAGAAGTTAGGGACAGGCAATGGAGGGTTTTTCTTAGAGCCTTCAGAGACATCATGGCCTACTGACACCTTGATCTTAGATGTCTAGCTTCCAGAAAAGTTAGAGAATGTATTTCTGTTGTTTTAAGCTACCCAGTCTGTGGCATTTTGTTATGGCCGCCTTAGGAAATGAAGACATCCCCCATTAAAGCTTGTCACACATAGGTCTTTGGCTTGTATCTGGGTTTATTTCCTTGACAGAAAGTAAGCTGCCTCGTGAAAGATGGAAGGAACCAGCCAAGAATGTGGAAGCAGAAGGAAGTGACTCACCCTGGGACTTCGGCCAACTCTACTCAGGTAGTACAGGAGTCCTTTGGCATGGTAGATTGTTGGCTGGAGATGAGCACTGGGAGAGAGCCATTGTCTGTTCAAATCCTCCCCTTTCAGTGAGCATCTGTGACTGCAAGAACAAACAAGGAGCAAATAAATACTTGTTGAGATGAAAATAACATGGGAAAATAAAGCTCGACAAGACAAACAAACTAATGAATCCAACGTCCCTCTGACTTCTGCCCAGTTGGCATCAATTGCAGATGTCCAGAAAGCTGCAGATCTGTCATTTAAGCTCCCAAAGTGTTGTGATTATTCACAGCCCCAAAAAGAACTGGAAGCCATGTTTGACTTGATATTGGGTTATCACAGTTTTAAGACAAAGTTTGGGAAACGTAGTTCCCCATTATATGCATCCGCAGAGAATGAATTTGATAAATTTCTCTGGGCTCTGGGACCTTCAATTCTACAAATAATTAAGTTGAGCTCAAACTGTCATGCTGGGTGTGTTATATACACTATTTCCAGCTGGCCCAATAACTCTGCCAGGTGGATAAGTATTCCATCCCAATGAAGAGATTGAAGCTTAAAAATATTATATAAATGGCCCAAGATCGCATAAATAAGAACTGGGCTTTACATCCAGGTCTATTTTCCTCTGAAAAAGCATAAGGCTCTTTCTCCTATCACCATGCTTCCTTTCTATCCATACAGATGACAGAGAACACTTGACATTTACCCAAAGAATCAGAGTACCTTTTTCAAAGATATCATCATGGAATACTGGCGCTAGAAATGAGCTCAGCGTCATCCATCCCCTCATGTGGGAAATGGAGATGTTCACATCTGAAAGTATCAAGTTACTTTACAAAGTTGACGCAGCTGGTTGACGCAGCTGGTTAGAACAGTGCTGCCTGCAATTCAGAGGGAAGCTGAGACGCTGAGCTCTCAGGTTAAAGTCATCCAAAAAGAGATACTCAGAGATGACCAAGTACAGCCCATGCTCAGGGGAGGCCCCCAGCAGTCCTGCTAAGATGCTGTTTACTCAAGATCCCTAACAAGAGAGATGCCACCAATTGAGGGGTAGCAGTCTAGCATCCCCATCAACCTTCTGCCACCCCCACCCCACATCTCCTGTTGTCCTTACTCTAGCTTCATCAAAGAGTCACAGATCCCTCTGAGCAACTGTGTCTGCTGTCCCTTTGCCAGGACTCCCCACAGCTTCATCCCTTTCCAATTATGCAACTTTCAGGGAAAATTTTCCTGATCCCCAGGCCATTACATTCTGCTCCTATTTGTTGCAAGTTTCCAGAGGTCCCATTAATCAGAGTCCTCATAAAACCACTTTGGGTAGAGTTTTACAGCTATTTAGTTATTTTTACCTCTCTTTCCTTGGACTGTGAGCCTCCTGGGGGCAGGAACAATCACTTTATTACCATCAAAACTTTAATAACTGTCAGAATTGGTATTCATTAAATAATTTGGAATGAATAAGTGCACTAGCATTTAATTATAGAATCAGATACATTTTCTGTGCTTTTTAAAAAATCACTATTTTCAATAAATCTTGGAGATGGAAGGAAAGAGGTTCAGCCTCCCTCTTTCACCACTTTCTCATCTTCATGTTTCTGAAATTATCTTTAAATATTAGTTGCCTGCTGCTTGTCAGCCTCCTCTTACAGCTCGCTGGAAACCAAAAATCTTTAGATTAATCATTTATCCCGATCTCACCATTAAAATATTTTGACTTGAGAAATGGTAGGTTTTTTCATCTTCTTCTCTGACTTTTTTTTGTTCTTTTCTCGCTATTTTTTCCTCCCTTTCTCTTTTTAATAGCAACGACATCTAGAAATAGGGTTTATCTGTTCTGCCTGGCGACCAGGGATGGAGGTAAAATATAAAGGAGATCTTTAATATTGATAGGAACAGAAAGATGCAGGCATCCCAGACTTGCTTCAGAGCACATTTGCTGTGTTTAAATGAATTTCTTTTCTCAAATCAAGATACTTGAAGGCATATCATCCCAGAGCCTCAGGACACTAACTGCTCTGTGACTCTCCTTGCCTTGACCTGGATTCTCATCAACACTGGAGATTTGTTTGTTTTGTTTTGTTTTTTCTTGGTAACATTGAAAGTGATGAAATCAGTCAAGATCCCTAAAAGCATTTCTATTTGTATAAATGAAAATGCAAGTATTATATATGTCCAGTAGCCATCAATTCCATGTCACCTCTCTCTTTCTATATGCTCTGTGGAGACCAAGTACAGAGACAATGGGGAAAAGCTTATAGGTCACCACATAGCAAAACTATCATTCTAGATTACAAGTTTCAAAAATAGAAAAAGTGAAGTTTATGTCGCAATCAGAATAAGCCCTGAGTTTAGGTTAAGAAGACCCACTCCCAACTCTCAGTTCTGTCACCAGATATGGGATTTGGGATGCTCTTTCAGAGTTAATATTTTCACAAGCAAAAAAAAGATATAGCTATGCATAACCTGCTTCCCTGAATCATTTTGAGGATCAAATAAAATAACGTCTTCTAGAGAAATATCTATATAACTGTATTTCTACCTATGTCTCTGTTATGTCCATACCTATATCCATGTGAACATCCCCATCTATGTCTGAATGTACATCTTCATCCCTTTCTATAATGCTCAGGGATGCAGAGAAGTACTTGGACTATGTTTATTGATTCCTCTCCTCATCTTATTTTTTTTCATTATGAAGAATAATGAAGGAGCTATATGCAGGTTTATTGGAAGGGATACTTTGGTTAGGAATCCCAAACAAAAGGCTGTGATCAGTTTCAATTACCACTTGAGCAGACTTAAAGGTGAAAGCAACAAGACTAAAAAGAAAAGAATTCATCTAAGAAAAAAGTATGAGGGAATAACTATGTAAATTGGACTTTGGGATGTTAAATAGTGCAGAGGGGATTGGCAGATGGCACCTAAGATTATCTAATTACGTGGATTTGGAGAAATTGGACCCACGTAAGACTGAAGAACCTGTTAGTGTCAGGTAAATTTTGTTTTGCGGTTGGAGACAGTGATGCATTCCCTTCATACCCATAGGTTGTATGGATTTGGAAGCCCATATTTTTGTTTTGTATTCAGGGCTCTGCATGGCAATGATTTGGAGAGTATCTCTATGTATGCCTATTGCTCCAGCAGTTCCTATACCTATGCAATTGCAGATTATCACAATATGTACTACACGTAACTTGAGTGCTTTTCCTTTTAAAGCAAATCCATTTCCTTCCAATCTCCAAATCCATTTGGCATTTTGTGTTAATAATATCAGAGATTCATGCAGTCAGAGAAACTGCTGCTGTTCTTCCCAGAGATTTGTTTTAAGCATTTGAAGATGAAACGTACCCAATCTTATTATCTACTGTAGCATTTCTGAAATGACAGCTGCTCCCTCTATGTGGAGAGAATTAGCAGATGGACAGCTATGACTGGCTGGCAATAAATTCAGTGTCTCTAATTTCTGAAAAGGGGTCATCCCTCAAATAGAGTTTAAAGTCCTGCTTTGCTTATAAGAATAAAATAGTGAGCATTGCTACTTTTTTCTCCATTGAAAACTACAAACTTACATAGGAAAAAAAAAATTCTTTTTAGTTTTAATAGGTGAAGCTATTTGATCCAGCTAGTGTTTGCTGTTTTAAAGCTTTATTTCACTACAGTCTAAGAAAATGCTTATATGCACTGAGTATGCAGGATCTTGGGGGACCAACCATCTGGTTTGTCCAGGTATGTTGCAGTTTTAGCTTAAAAATCCTACATCCCAGGGAACCCTTTAGTCCCTGGTAAACCAGGGAAGTTAGGCCCCCAAAAGCTAGATCTCAGGGTGCCGAGGTGGCTCAGTTAGTTCAGTTAGTTAAGCGTCTGCCTGCAGCTCAGGTCATGATCACAGGGTCCTGGGATCGAGCCCCATTTTGTCCATCACCTGGCTCTCTGCTCAGTGGTGAGCCTGCTTCTCCCTCTCCCTCTGCTTCTGCCTGCCCCTGCTTGTGTATGCACGCTCTCTCTTTCTCTCTCTCATCCTGACTCTGTCAAATAAATAAAATATTTTTTAAAATAGTAAAATGAAATAAATAAAGGTAGACCTCAAATTCTAAAAGGTGTTCCCAAAGTAGAATGCAGGCCAGAATTTGGCCTCTTTCACATTCACTTTGAACATTTTAGGTGGGACGTATGTATCTTCCCGCCAGCCTACCTATTTTTACCTCTGACTGGTAAACCTGTGGTTTTTGGTAGGATGTATTTCTTTTCTTGGGGGAAAAAATATACAAAAAAGCCTCTGATCTCCTGAAAATAGCCAAACAAAAGCATCTCAGCTGAAACTACTAAACAATGAATCAGCAGTGCCAGTCCTAAGAGGTCACTGAATACAGGAGCAACTACATGAGACCCAGGCTTCAAAAGCCAGACAACCTAAAGGGAAATGATGTCATTAGAATTCATTTATTTAACATTAATTGCATATTTTCCTATCTGCTAAGAATAGGAATTACCCTGGCCAGCAACTGGGAAACAGGTAATATAACTAAGGGTCTTGACAAGCAGACCCTGAACTACCAGGATCCCTAAAACAAAGAAAGTCAGAGAGAGAAGGAGAAGCAAGTAACTTCCTAAAAGAGAATCCATCAAGCTTCGGTAAAATAATAAAATGATGTAAAAATCTCCCATCCATCTGTGACTGGATAAATGGAGAAATGGGGCCCATCAGACTGAATGAATGATGCCCGGCTTGATCATTTTAGTGTCCCCAGACACAGCCAGCTCTGAAGTCTAAAAAAAGCCGTGTATTTGAGATTTAGCAAACATCTTCACTATTCACTGCACATCCTAGTAACAGGAGGCAGCATGATGCAGGAGAAGAATATTTATAAAGGTAAAGAGACGCACGGAAGCTTCAGGAATAAGACGGAACAGCATGGGGTACTATTAGCCAGACATTGCACCCAGAGCTTTCTAAATACACACTGCTTGGATAGAGAAAAAGGGAAAACCAATGTCAACTTCTTCATCTGAAGACCAGGGTTGCTTGTAAAGATACAGGCCATTAGGGTTACCAAGGACAGGTTAGCATGGCCAGGGTGTGTGTGTGTGTGTGTGTGT